AACGCGTGTTCTAGATAATTTTGTCCATCCGCTTTTTAATGTGCGAATAGGAAATTGAAGTATTACGTATCACGAACATGATTTCTTACTGGTATACAATGGAATTGCCTCTCAGTCGATAATTTTTCAGACAGGTTAAATAAACCTTGGACAAAATACGTAAAGTGGATAAAAAGTCCATTTAAAAGTACAAAGGGCTCAATTGAGAGAGAGAGAGAAAGAGAGAGGAAAAGAGAGAGAGAGAGAGAGAGGGAGAGGGAAAGAAAAGGAGAAAGAAAGACAGAAAGAAAGACAGAGATCGAGGGATATATGGAGAAAGCACATCAGAAAAAGGAATTATTAAATTGAGGCTTTCAAATGAATATGTGAATAAATTGGATCTAGTACCGAGAAAATCGGCCACCACAACACCTTTTCCATAAACAGTAAGTGTATAGACAATGCTTCCTAGCGATCAGGCCTAAACAAAAAAAGATGTTGTATTGCCCTTTGCCCTTTGCGACCGACCCCAAAATTTTGAAATCTCCGCTCGGCTTTTTTTTTTTTTTTAAACGTTAAAAAAATAAAAAGAGTTTTAATGAATTACAAAATATGTATTACAGCATTCAGAAATATCAGCCCAAAGAGGGACCAAACAAAAATTTCCGACCGACCAACCCAAGTTTGGCACCTAAAGGGCAATACAATATTTTTTGTTTGTAGGCCTCATTGGTCAAGCGTCCCACCGCAAGCTTCTGACAGTCATTGGTCCGGGGAGTAGGGAGGACGGGCGGGAGGAGGGGGAGATGGGAGAGCGAGGAAAAAAAATCTGTCTGGGCGCACATCAGCTAGGAGGCTGTAGGAGGCAGGAAAAAAAACTTCGAATTGTTTAGATGTTGATGATGGTATCTAACAAAGAACATGTTAGGACAACATTCCATATTATTTTAGTTGTGCTTTGTTTTATTCTATCATATTGTGACGGACACGATTCGCCACCTTGGCTTGACACGGAGTATTTGTCAGGATGCCCGTGTCTGGCCTGGCGCTCCCCGTCGTTCGTTTGGACAAAATATATGCCCGTAGCTTGATGGCTGGAGTTCTTTCACTGCTCACGTCACAGGGCGTATTAACAATCATGCATCCTTCGACTGCAATTGGTCACCCCAATCGTTGTGCACAGCAACAGTCAATTGAACATCCTTCGAGCAATCAATCAATCAATCACCAATCAGTTACCATGCTTCGTCAACTTCTGTCACTGATTCTCGATCTCATTGCATTGTCTAACTACGGTTTCACTGTTAGAAATCAGACCAATCATGAGTTGCATGTCGAATTCCTTTAATGCGAACCAACCAACATTCAGGGTGAACTCGATCAACACAAGTACAAGTGTAGACTAGATGTAAGACTCAACTAAAGACTAAGGCCAACCTCGGTGAGGCTGGCCTGTATATCGGATACAGTGCAGTGGAAAACCCTAATTACACAATCCTGGCCAACCTAAAACTTTCCCTATACATAAACGTATAAAAGAACAATTATGTCCTCGTTAGTAAAACAACACTTCAACCCAACATTTCTGCTAATCCCATTAAATCTTCACATATAATCTTCAGTATAACCCCTTATTCCTGATTAGATAACTACTACACAAATAATATCCCCAAAAGTAACATGATAATTGCACCAACATGATTGTGAGTTGTAATTTATGCTCATTTTCCTTCAGTTTGGTAATTGCTAAAACACTGATTTGTTACAATACAAAAGCCTACAATATATATATATATATATATATATATATATATATATATATATATATATATATATTTTTTTTTTTTTTTTTTTGGGGGGGGGGGGGTTGTTATATCTTAGAACCCAAACGCTGAGTCTATGTGGGGACATACCAATCATCGATGAACACTGCCCAGTCATGTGCGGCATCTGTCCCGGAAGATAGACGTGAGATGGTCGTAAGAGCACCAACGATTCGTGAATGTGAACTACTACTCGGGATCCTCAGCTTCTTCTCCGCTATATCCTACAACATATTTTAAATGAAATTAATAATCTAAAATGTGATTGATCGCAAGGACTTTCATGAAAATAACTCAAGGATATTAACTCAATGAGATACCATATTTATTGTCCATAAAAGTGATTGTCGAGTCACGTAATATGTCAGTGTAGTAAACGCACATTTCAATAGAATATTTACGAGGCTTTCAAAATTGAATAGGTTTGTTCTTGGAAGCCAGCCAACCAGGGATAACTAAGGATACAAGCAGGAAGGATACACAGAAAAATACAGCTCTGTTCCGTTTACTGGAAAGGATTCTGGTTCGTAGTTGGTCCATGATTACACTATGGTCTTTACCACATGATTAGATTATGATATTGGAGCCAAAGTGGGCCATGGCTGGGTAAGGCATGTCCATGGGTTAGGTAACTCGGGGGGTGTTCAAAGGCTTTTGTGAAGCCAGCCCCAAGTAGAAAATAAAACTGCCTGTTTGGAGACAGAAGGACTTTGAAGTATATACTTTACAAATAGTTACTGTATTAACAGCCCACTGACTTCGAACATTCGAAACATTGATCAGAATCATCAACTTGACACACAGTTTGTTTTACTATTAAGAGTAATATCAAGGCAATATGGAGTTTAGAGACAATGTATTGTAACTCACTTGATCCAGGATTATTCAGTCTTTAGACTGTTGTTCCTATCCATGGTTTCCTTTGTTTGGGGTTTTCATCATATTTATCTGGGGAATCTTTCCACCATTTCTCAAGTATTGATTAAGATATAGGATTTTGGTCAATAATCGCCCACAAATTAGATTTCATGAGAGAATTATTTTCATTCTTTGTTTTCTGTTTTCATTTACTGTTGATTTCTATCCCCAAAGGCTTGTCGAGATATGGCGCGGTAAACCGCAGCAAAAAAAATGTATAAATGTTAATAGTCTATTATAATTTACGTCATCCTAAAGCAATAAAATACCGCCGGGGATTTGCAACGTCATATCTGAACGAGCCTTGTATGCTGAAATCACTTCTTCGTTTCTAATATTTTGCTTTCCTTGTGTTATTTTCATATGATTAGATACATGAGATAATTCTGGTCAAACCAGTAGAACCTTTTTTTAGTAATTGCAACTAAGATCATCTTATTTATCTTATTTGTATAAGTAGTAATGATTAAATAATGTTTAAATGCAATCTAATTAATAATATGTGAACACATATATGTACAATACAGTTTGTAAATTCTGAAGAGTAAACGAATGTACTTCAACCACAAATCTAAAATATATATGTGTATATATTTCTTTCTAATTCATCTTGCGTGTATGTATGCATCTGTAAAGTTCGCCAACACCCTATCTTTCTCTCCTCCGAATTGTTTTACTCTGCCATCTTTCTCAAGTTTTCCCTTTCTTTCTCATTCACTCTATTCCCCTCTTCTCTGTTGGTTTCTCTCTATTTAGTTTTCAGGTTGCAATAATTTTGTCCTTCATTGTATTCTACTAAAGGATGACAAATTTAGATTATTTAACAGAAAAGCCAGTTTATTTTGCTACAAAGTGACAAACCAGTCACAACTAGACAGTACAATTTGTTTGGTGAATAAGTTTTACTCTAAAAAACAAACGTTTGAAAAATGTTCGAAAGCTCGGCCGCTATGCACTCTCGTATTATTGTAGGATCTCATAAATTGCCGCCGTCATATAGGATATAGAAACTTTTTTTAAAGGGTTAACAAAATTTGACCATAGATGTTATGTAATTGCTTCGCAACCAATATTAATATAAGCCTCTTGATAAATATTGCGTTCCAATACTGATATTTTAAAAGGTATTTGATACGGTTCAACTTTCGGGGAAAGTCTTAATTTTTGGTTAACTTGTGCGGCTGTATTTATTTAGGGTTGTCATTAATTTCGAACCCCACTTGCAAGACTTGTGGAAGAAATTCAATTACTGATGTTAAACATTTAAAACTGTACAGATCGTGTTCATTGCTCCCTTGCGATTTTCGCTAAATGTAAATGCTTAGAAATTGCGTAAAATGTAATAGATGTCTATTGTTAGATAATTACAGTGCTTATATAGGACTGTAATTATTGTTAGATTGCCTTGCTCCCTTGCTTGTACAGTTACGTAGATACGTTTTGGAAGCGGGGGCACATATCTAATGTTAGCCCCGGACAGCCAAGATGCCAGTAGTGTTAAAATTTGATAATACTTGGAGGAAAATAAGTCGAAATTTCTTTTCGCATTTAAACGAAGTTTGCATAATGCTCAATGGTTAATATTGATTTTGAACAATTAAAAAATAATTATAAAAATTTGAACGTACATGTGACATAAAATGACACGTTTGAGCAAACGGAGTATATTGATTAAACTATCCTCTAATAATCAAGTGCCGGGCAAATGGGGGGGGGGGGGGGAGTGTTGGTCAGTGGCACAGGGGCAGATACCTTTAGTATAAAATGAAGAATGTGCACCCTTAAATGTGCACCCCGGGCCCCATTGAGATATCAAAGGATCATCGACATGTGATTATACTTTTTTTTGTGAGAAGATCATTCGGATCATAAACACATCTGCAGAAAATGCAGATGAGAAAGCGCCGAAATATCTTTTAGTTTTTCCCTTTGGTAACACCAACACATGAATCATGTGGACAATTTTAAATTCGGATGAATTTGTTACAAAGATTTGAGCCAGCTTGTTCCAGAAAGAACGACTGTAATTATGATGCATTATTGCCAAGTATTGCCAATAATCATAGTTTTTAAAACATAGGAATGTTATGAATGGACAGGCTATAACAAAACTACCCGATATTTATGACATTTTAAAAATTGTATATAACCTCCCTTACGAAGAAACGAGTTACTTTCGAAAATGCGGATAATAAAGATTACATCATTTGGCATTACATCATTATGTTATATATTCTCTTCACAGTCGAAATACTGAGAACTTATCTCTAAGATTGCGACTTAATGGGTCACGTTCCCTCCTTTGAGAGGAAGTGCGAGCTCGATGGTAGAGTGTTGTTTTATTTCATACTCCTCCAGAGTCGTTGAGCCGTTCACCTGCTTGCCCTTATAAATCAGACGCTGTACATTGGATGGGATGCCGGTCTTCTTCGCGACCTGTCGCTTGAGGGCGTCTGCCGTGTCTGACAAGCGAACGTGGATGGATTGTGACTTGCCCTCGAGGTCACGCACCCAGATCTGCACTGTTTTCCTTGCCTCAGTGGCAGAGGCCTTTTCGGCGACCATTCTTTTCATGATACCTGCCTGCTCATCGAGGATGCAGTTGAGCTTGTAGTTCTGCTTCAGACTGGTCAAGCCCAAAGAGGGGATACTGGTCTCCTTTTGGCAGAGACAGCATTTGATTTTAGACGTCCAACCTTTAAAAGCATAAGAAAATTATGAAAACAACAATAACAACAACTGTATAACTCACTTTTACTTGAGGAGCGCTTACATTGTAAAAGACATAACTGACACAGGCTTTAATTAAGTTTACTTCTTCAACGACGAATCCAAATTATGCCCTTGCATTTCAATGATGCCAATATATCGTACTTTGATCTAGAGCGGCAGTGATTAGCATAACATTCATAAAGACAACAATAGAAGATTCAAAGTAGAAATCATAATGAACTTACATATAAAAGGATGATATCATTTTGAGTGGTTTAGGGGTGCCGCATACTCCCAGTCCCTTTAGCTATGCCCCTGATAGTATGAATAATAACATCATTATTATTGTTGTAGCTGTCGCTGTTGTTGTTGTTTTCATTAAAATTAGGCCATTTTCTCCTTATTGCTTTTTATTATCATTATTGATATTACTACAAGATGTAGTGTTGTTATTAATGTTATAACAATGCTATTAATGACCATTTTATTATCAGGCATATTATTATTATCATTATTATTATTAGTAGTAGTATTTTCAGTTATATCACCATTATCATTATCATTTTCTTTATCATAATTTTTTTATTTCTTCACTGAATTGTTTTCTCTAACTTTTTTGCTTCTACTTTAACCAACTTAATTCCAGGGTAGACTAAAGTCTGGTGGTTCTTAATGATTTTATCATTGTGCTCATGACTTTGTCAGGTCATAAAACTAGCTTTGTATTCAGTGAAATGTGTGAAGAGTTTAGATGTCTGGTAACAGAAGTACAATATTTAAGTTTCTTCTAGTAAAACTAGAACCATGCATGACAAGTGTTGAAGGGTGCTATACTGTTTGGTATAAGAAGAAGTAATTTATAATAATTTGGTCATTGTGATGTAATAAACTGGTCTGACTCTGAGCTCTGGAGTCAAAACTAGGATTGTAGGTGTTTAGATGGGAACAGCAGTAAATGCTATTGAAAGAACAAATGTTAGACACAGTTTGTTCAAACGAGGTATAACATTTTATGTCAGGAAACATGTATACAAACATGAATGGTGGAGTATTTGGCAAGACTGGCAATACATAGTGAGCACTAATTTTGTTTCTATGTTGACCCCGAATATTTGAAAATCAACACCCCCCCCCCCCCCTTGAGGTAAAAAATGGTACATTTCTGGTCACCATTAAAAAAAAAACTTTGGGGGGGGGGGGGGATCAGGGGGGGGGGGGGGCAAGGCCCGCTCGGCCCTTCCCCCTGGATCCGCGCCTGCATGGATCAAATTGAAGGTTTCTTATCAGTTGAATCAGTTTGCATATGAAGTGGAATGCTAATACCCCTTGTGCAGTTGAGCTAAATATACTGCATGACTCTTGCTATGTACATTTCTTGTTGTTTGCATGTCAATTTTTTAATGTTTATGATTTCTTATCTCTTTATGTGACCAGGAAAAATCACATTAAGTCCACGGATAGAGTGGGTTGTTAAATCTCGAAGAACAGAGCATAATCATTCATGGCGATACTATATGCCCACAATTCCCATTTTATCAATCTATGATGAGTTGCTTGAAAATTACGCTGAAAAAATAAAATAAAATGCACCAAACAAGGCTTATATTGCACCAGAGAGCATCTAGAATCTCAGAGTTTCCATGGTCCTTGAGCGGGCCCTGGACCCCGGGTCGCAAGGGACTTCGCGCTTTGCGCACATTCAGATTATCGGGTTAAGTGCTTCAGCCCCCCCCCCCCACTTAAAAAAAAGCATTCACGCTTATGATAACCATTATCTTCATCATCATCATCATCATCATCATCATAAATATTATATTAGTGGTTCACGTACGTACCCTTTATGGCTACCAGCTCTTGAATACATCCCAGGCAGTAGGTATGGCCACATGATAGATCCCTAGCATCTTTCAGTACATCCTGACAGATCGCACAATTCAGGTTCTTCACAAGATCAGTATACATCGATTTCAAATCCACGTGGCTCTCCATTGTCGATGTGGTGATGATACTTTTGTTGCTATATTGCTGGAGTTTTCAGTCTTAAAGAATTGAACCTTCTCTCACTGATCGACACACAATATAAGACTGCTTCTTCACTAAGTAAGAGCTCAATGGTAATGGGTTTTCCCAACGGATTTTGCGACATTACTCTCTTTTGGGGGGTATTTACAAGCTGCATCTGCTTGTGTTGCGCAATAATTCATATTTTACTACCTGGGATAACAACGATTGCAAGCCCTTTCGAAAAAATCAAGGTAACGCGTTTTCTAGATAGGTTTGTCCATCCACTTTTGTAATGTGCGAACAGGACATTGAAGTTTTACGTATCACGAACATGATTTCTAACGGGTATACAATGGAATTGCCTCTCAGTTGATTATTTTTCAGACAGGTTAAAATACCCTGGACAAAATAAGTAAAAGTGGAGAAAAAAATTCATTAAAAAGTACAAAGGGCTCAATTGAGAGAAAGAGAGATAAAGAGAGAGAGAGAGAGAGAGAGAGAAAGAAAGGGAGGTAGAGAGACAGAGATCGAGGGAGATATAGAAAAAGCACATCAGAAAAAGGAATTATTATATTGAGGCTTTCAAATGAGTATGTGAATAAATTGTATCTGGTACGGTAGAAAATCGGCCACCACAACCCCTTTTCCATAAACAGTAAGTATATAAACAATGCTTCCTAGCGATCAGGCCTAAACAAAAAAAGATGTTATATTGCCCTTTGGGACTGACCCCAAAATCTTAAATTCTACGGTTGTCAGAGTAAAATGGGAAATTTGTTCTTATTTTATTTGTTTTCCTATTTTCAAGGTCATCTAGACATTAGAGGGCGTTAGTGATAGAAAATATTTCGCTTGTCTGAATATATGCAAATTAGGGTGTGGTGCCGAGAATGCTTAAAGGTGTGTACGTGTGGACTTAAATCAGTGCAGTTGACTAGAAGACGAGGTTGTAGCTGGACGTGTGAGAGGTCTTGAACATGTACCCTTATGTGTGTTGTGGAAGTTGCTACCAGAGCCTTGATTTTGTATTCGGCGCAAGCAGTCCTTTTCCTCAGGCGACACCGGTACGAGAGGTATCCTCCATGTAGCCCAGAACCTCGATTTTCCTGCCATTGGCACAATTTTGTCAACATAACTGTAAGTAGCTTTCTATACATAACCTATGTGTGATAATGAGATTCAGATAATTTACATGTTTACAGTGTGCAAGAAGCACCACGTTAGAGCAAATTAGCTCGTATGTGTATCAAAAGTAATTATTCACGAACACGTGACGAAAGAGCCGTTCATGAAATATCGTTCTCCTGAGCGTCGTTCGATAGGGATAATTATATACGTTTATTGATATAAATGCTTTAACGCTTCATGCATACATTTTGAAATTATATGTTAAAGAACATTTTATTTTGTGTTAATGAATTAACGCAGTACAACCTAGTAGTAATGATGAGGAACAAGTTATTATTGAGATTACTGTGCTAGAAATGACTTAATTTCTCTAACGAATTTTTATTGACATAACGAAATTCTTATAATGATTGATTAAGTTTGTGGGTCATCATCCTTCCGACACAAGTCTCCAGGGATCTATTCCTCGTAGAAACCATGTCGGTTTTGGATCTTCTGATATAGCAATTAAATCTATTTTTGCCCGGGTCAGTTAGATTGGTGACCCTAGTTAATAATGAAAAGAAAGTGTAGTGGAAGGAAACCATGTTGGTTTTGTTATAACCGGATAAAGAAAGTTTGGTGAAATAACCTTTATTATTTCATCGTTTGCTTTATTCGAAAATGAGTATTAGAAATAAGTGTTAAAACCGTAGAAATTAAATATCATGTATTTTGAAGGATATATTGATAATTTCATTTATAGCCGTAAGAGCGGACAAGAACGTTCTTCACTACTAACGTGTAGCAAGCATCGAATCGTCGAATTAGCATCCAAGCATCGAATCGTCGAAGTAGCATCCAAGCATCGGATCGTCGGATTAGCATCCGAGAATCGCCGAGTCAGTATATCCGGGATCTTGAAGCACGTGACCGATTGCCGTAACAAGCGATTACGGGACATCAACCTTCACAAGTCTTCAAGCATCGAATCGTCGTAGGAACTATGTCGGTATTTGATTTTCTGATATAGCAAATACTAAGCAGAAGGCTTTCGCCTTATTTCGGACAATCGTCGTAATTTCGGACACTTTAAAAACTGGGAAGTTAACTTGTACGAATTACACGGGGTATTGGAATAATTAAATGACTGTACGTATTTGTAATATTTGTGTAACAGCAGATTTATATGAATTGGGAAATTAACTTTAGACGGGATTACACTTTTGGGTATTGGAGTAATTAAATGACCGTACGTATATGTAATATTTCTGTAACAGCAGATGTCTATGAATTTAGATGTTGGTGTAGTTGTCAAATAAAAGTCTGTAAAACTCATTTATGAGAGTCGTTGTGGCTATTTTGTATATCTTGACAATAATTGGCGACCTTGCCAGGACTGGCGAAAAAAAATTAAAATTGTTAGGATTACAATAGGGTTGTTATTATAGCTGGGATTTCTAATATTTGAACGACTATAGGATATTTCTGGAACTTGCATTTAATATTTATAGTGTGCATATGTTTCTGTATATTTTCTTTGTATGTTACCTACTGTATTACAGGTTAGAGGTAATCAACTGGAGGTACATGCAGGATACCTGGTGACTGGTGCTCGTTCGCCTTCCACATCGTCGCTCTCCACGCGCTGCTAAATTGTTTCTGGCTCTGGTGGTAAGTTCTCATGTGAATGACTGTGAGTGTTTGACATGGATGTTGAAAAGTTAGTAACGATTGGGGAATCTTTGGGACTCACAGGTATAGAATTAAGGGATTTCTTAAAGGTAGAACAGGACAGAGAGAGGGATAAGAGAGCAGAAGAGCGTGAGCGATTGAAGGAGGAAAAAGAATTGGCAGAAATTAGGTTGAAAATAGAAAGTGTAAAGCTTGAGCAACGAGGTAACCAGGATAGTAATAACAGTACTCATAATATTCGTCCCCCTAAACTTCCCTCATTTGTTTGTGGTAAAGACAAATTAGATGTTTATTTACTTAGATTTGAACGTTATGCGGTTGCGCAAAAGTGGCCGTCAAATGTTTGGGCTGTAAATTTAAGTGCTCTGTTAACGGGAAAAGCCTTGGACACTTACTCCCGGTTGAGTGAAGACGATGCTCAAGATTATAATGTAGTGAAGACAGCGATATTGCAGCGGTACTCGCTTACTAGTGACGGTTTCAGAAAGAAATTTCGGAGTTCGAAACCTGATTCGGGTGAGACAGCCGAGCAATTTATCATTAGGCTCAGGAGTTATGTTGATAAATGGATTGAGATGTCGGGACGCCAGAAGACGTTCACCGATGTAGTGGAGCTGTTCCTTATAGAGCAGTTTTACACTACCTGCTCGAAAGATATGGAGACTTTCATAAAGGAACGAAAGCCGAAGGGACTCAAGGAGGTCATAGAGATTGCCGACTGCTTTGTAGAAGCAAGATCGGGATGGCAGGGTGGGACTGGTAAATCACACACCAGTAAACCCACTTCTCCACCTCTGCAAGCAGGCTCGAAACCAGCAGGATCGAAACCATTAGACAGGTCGCAAAGCCGTCCTGGTGGTTGTTATATCTGTGGGAAACTAGGGCATCAGGCAAGGCATTGCACGCAACGGAAGAGGAAAGAGGTTGCAGCTGCGGGAGCTGAGATTCAGAGTGAATCGGACAGGACATCGAGCATGCCAAAGCAACCTCAGAGAGAGGTCCATGACAGAGATACAGATTCACTCCCGGAGTCGACTGGTCGGGATAAAAGAAGGGTGAATCGTCATGAGTCGGAAATGTACGATGTTAATGCATGTTTGGTAATAATGTCTTGTTTCTCATGTACAGATGTAGAAGGAGAAGTCACTGAGATACAATCGGAGTTGGCATTGCCGATAGTTAGTGTTGCTGCTGGAGCTAAACCCCTCCAGCTTATGCCAGTCAAAGAAGGGATCATCAACGGCACGCGTGTCAAAGTCTTGAGGGATAGCGGATGTTCCACAACATTTGTGAAGATGGGACTTATCAAGCCAGACCAATTTGCTGGGGAAGAAAGGAGGTGCCTCATGATAGATCGTACTATGAGGACGTTCCCCGTTGCTAAGGTAACGCTTGACTCACCCTATTTCATTGGTGAGGTGGAAGCATTGTGTGTGGATAATCCTATCTATGATGTAGTTCTTGGGAATATTCCAGGTGTTCGAGAACCGAAGGATCCGGACGAAGACTGGAATGGTGATACATGTCTAGCTGTAGAGACAAGAAATCAGCGGAAGAAAGAAAGCAAACCCATCCAAAAGTTGAAGGTACCAAAGCAGACTGACGTTGCTACCGCTGAAGAATTCCGAAAAGAGCAAGCAAATGACGCAACGTTGGGGCGTATACGAGAGCAAGCCGAATCGGGAGTAGTCAAGACGACTAGAAATGGGAACCGGTCACTCTTTCGAAGAAAACAAGGATTGTTATATCGCGAGTTCCAATCCGCATCAGGTGATGTCACCCATCAGCTAGTTGTTCCTTGTAAATTCAGAGGACAGATTCTGCGGCTTGCACATGAGTGCCTATTGGGTGGGCACCTAGGATCACATAAAACCGCAGAAAGAATCTTACAGAATTTCTTCTGGGGTGGTGTAAGAGCGGACACATCTCGATTTTGTAGGTCGTGTGATGTGTGCCAGCGCTCAGTGTACAAGGGTACGGTAAGGAAAGTACCATTGGGGGTTACTCCTTTAATTGATGAGCCATTTCACCGTGTGGCTGTTGACATTGTTGGCCCTATCGCTCCTATGACGTCACGAGGTTGTCGGTATATACTGACGCTCATGGACTACGCGACAAGGTATCCTGAAGCTGTTCCACTTAAGAACATAGATACAGTGTCCGTAGCGGAAGCTCTTTTCAGC